CATTATTCATATATAAAAAAAACAAAACAAAAAAAACTTTTACTTATCTGTATCTATGCTTTTCTCATATTCATCTGTATTTTTCTAATTAACTTCATCATCATCTGGTTATTTTTCAGCTTTTTGGACTTTATCCAAATCTAAATTAACTACTTTGGTAATTTTTGAATATATATATTAAAATTGCAACCATTCGCATTATAATGCTATATTGCTAATTAGATAAATTTTATATTTGTATATTATTTACCAACTCTTGGTCTTTATTCATTTAAAATAATTTATCAATATTAGATTTTTTCAAATTATTTTAAATTAATTTTAAATAATAAATATTATCACAGTTTTCAAAATGGTTGACACTAAAATATTTTGCATACTTACTGTATACTGATATAAAATCATCTAACCCTAAAAATTTTTTGTATACTTTAAATATATTAGTTGTATTTTAAAGTATACAAAAAAATTTTTTAGGGTTAGATAATTCTATATCAGTATACAGTGAGTATACAAAATATTTTAGTGTCAACTATTTCAAAAACTGTGATAATCTTTTCAGAATAGTTCGAATTAAATTCTACATTTACTGTCTAGCCTCTAATTAATTTATATATATTTTAATAATTAGATATATTATTGCGAATATTTTAAAATTAGATTTCAAAAAATTAAATAAATTATTTATACAGTTTCATCATTTTCATCAGATTTATTTCTATTATCGTTTCTTGCTTCATCTTCAGAATCTGAAATAGAAAAGAATCACCATACTCTAAATTTTTAAAATATTTTGATACAATTAGATTTAATCTAAATTAGTTTAAACTATATAAAATAATAATTATATTAATAAATACTTACCAAATTTATTGCCATCAATTTTCTTATTACAGCAGGATCCGAAATTGAAATATTTTTGTTTTTTATTAAATTAATAACATATTAAATAATTAAATAGAATAAGTTTAAATAATTTAAATATATTCAAACATATTCACATCATTGTACATATTAGATCCACTACTATCATTAACTCCAAAGCTATCAAATCATTCAGTAAAACTTTCACTAAGACTGAAACTTCATGTAGATCTGAAGGTTGCAATCTTTCTATTATCTGCCTTCTTAGTTTCAGTTTTTTTTTCAGCTTTCTTGAACTTGACTAAAACTTGAAACATTTTTAAATTATAATAAAAAAACTTTAAATTTTATTAGTAAGTAGTATATAGAAAAAGCTTTAAAGGCAAAAAAAATTTAATATAAAATGAAAAAAGGTTGACTTAATAAAAAGATTAATTGTTTTAACACTAGTTAATTCGAATAAATGCGAAAGGATGTGATTTGATGTATAATAAACAATGTTGAATTGTCAAAACAATGTTGATTGTCGATTTAATTTTATAGTAAAATTTCTTGGCTGATTTCATGTGATTTTATATAATTACTTATTAAATATACAATTAAACAAATATGAATAATTTTTATACATATATATTAAAAAATTTTTATTTATTTCGAATTGATTTAAATTAATTCCAAAAAAGTTTAATATGTTTATAACACTTTCATAAACTGAATAAATTTTATTTTCATTGTATATTTGTAATATTGTATTAACTGCTATGCATATTCTGAATATATAGTTAAAATTTTAGCTTAATTAAATTAATAGTTGTTAAAATATAAATTTTTAAAGTTGTTTAAAATTTTATAATCAAATTACTATGTTATACAAAAGTTGTACAAAAATTACTATAAACTGCCATATAGATGACTCAGTGTGATACAATTTTTTACAATTAAAAAATTTTCAAATCACGTGTATTTACGCATCACATTATCTAATTTTAAAAATAGATCTATATTATTTGTCACACTGGGTTATCTATACGGCAATTTACAGTACTATAGTAATTTTGTATAACATTTGTATAATATTTAAAATTTTATATTTTAATAACTATTAATTCAATCAAGTTTATTAAAATGTATCTATAGTATTTAACACTATAGATTCTCACTATATTATACAAAGTTGTACAAAAATTACTATAGTAATTTTGTACAACATTTGTATAATAATTAAATTTTATATTTTAATAACTATTAATTCAATTGGGTTTACTAAAATGTATCTATAGTGTTCAATACTATAGGTTTTTATTTCTCAAAAACATACTAAGTAAACAGAATTAGATACTCTAAGTAAAAATGTTTAGGGCCCAAAAACTCATGAAAACCAAGATTAAAATCTTATATTAGCTCTATATTATATTATATAAAAAAATAATAGTTCTTAATACCTGCACTCTAACCCTAAATTTTATTAAAAACAATCATATATAGTGCTAAATACCATAGATGCATTTTATAATAATTGAATTCAATTAAGCTAAATTTTAACTATATATTCAGGATAGGGCCTGAGATTGGAGAACCGAGTGATCAGGTTCTTAAGTGGGGGGACACACTAGCCAAACCACCAGGCTGACGCACTGGAGAAAAAGGACATATGCTCTGAAAGTATGGACCAAGGGGAGGGTGTCCTTCAAGCACCTAAAGCCTGGGCAGACCAACCTGTCCAGGTTGCTGGCTGGAAGTAAGGGAGAGACTGATAAAGAATCCGGGTAAGAAGACGTTCCAAATATGGGTACCGGGGTTGTTGTGAACTGAATAAGAGCAAGGAGTACGTAATGGGTGCCTAGTTAGGAAGGTTGGTGCTTGAGAAACATCCATAGAAAGGCAGTACCCAAAAGGTGGCATGAGATACTAATATGAAATGGCAGATCAATATGTATTAACTAGGAAGAAGTTATAAGAACATGCAGGTGAATACATGTGTGGGACATGTACTGCTCTGTTAGGTTTACCTTCGAGGATAGATTAGCCATATATGGTTAGTAAGTTTTAATGATAGGGATTGACAAAATCCGTGTGGTTAGTAAGTCCTAAGGTAGGGTGCGAAATCCACAATGGGTAATATCTGAAATCCACGTATGTATAGTGAGGTACACCCAGAGTTAGAGGGCTGCTGGAGGTAGTTAGAACCAGATGGTTTAAATGAGTACCCCCTAGTTGGGGTGCAGATATAGCAGATAGTGTAGAACCTTTGGGCGGACTACTTAAATTAGGTACTCAAAAGGTACACATGTGGCTTGATGTACCATCATTGTAATTATATTATAAAACTCTGGTTATACTCTAATAAAAAGTCCCCAGACCAAAGAAGGTCACCTTAATACCAAAAAAAATAAACTATATATTCAGGATATGCACAGCTATACACTTGCATATTACAGACCTGTTACACTGCATATAGCTTGTGAAAATGCTTAAAATCTGATTTTTTTAAAAAATAATTAATTATTTTTAAAAAATTAAAATTTTTAAAAAATTTATTACTATAAATTGTTTATAAAAAGATAATAAAAAATATATCAAAGATAGCCCAAGACCTACATTATTTGATATAAAAAAAAAATTATAAATAAATTATTAAAATTTAAAAATTTTTTATATATAGACAATATTAATTTTTAACTTTTAATTGCCAGAATAAATGAGACGACCAATACTTTCTAAGACATACATATTCAATTAACTGTCTAACGTCTAGCAAAAATTATAATTTAAGGGATCATAGATCAGATTTTATCAGATTTTATAACCAAAAAAAAGTTGATAAAAAAATTATCCCAGACGTCTTACTTGACGTGTATCTATCTATTCTCTAAACATATGTAATAAATTCTTTTGTGTAGATTTATTAGTTTGGAAGCTTTTTTATATACTATGATGTCTTTTTTCGTTTCTAGTTCGTAGTATTAAACGATAAATTATTTCAAAAATAATCACAGGAAATCACGGGTAGATCTACAAAAATTAACCAATCGTACAAATGTCTTCCCATGAACTCGTGCCAGTAAAGTCCATTCTGCTTCTGAAAATAATTTTATATTAATCCATTGATTTCAATATGATGTAAAATATTATATTTAATCAACTTTGAAATATTTTATTTATATAATGAAAAATTTAATAAAAATTTATATGTAATAAAATTTTTTATTTTTTTTTTAAATTTTATGGTATAAATTTTAATAGGTTTAACCAGTTAAGCTGGATAAAGATATATAAACTTATTAATCAATTTGAGGTTGAGTCAGTGTCTGAAATTGGGTTGCGGAGTCTGCGGACCGCAACAAAATTTTAAATTCCCGCAACCAAAATCTGAAGTGCACATGCAGATTCCGCATATAAATTTGCAAAATTTACCTATAAATTTCGATTAAATGTTCATGTGCGCAACTAAATTTTTATAAATTTTTATAATCCGCAAGTCAGTTTTTTAAATTGGTTGCAGCCCGCAACTAATTTAAAAATTGAATTTCAGACACTGGGTTGAGTTAAATTATCCACTTCATCTACTATAATTACATATTCTTTAAAATACAGGCTAAATTACTTGTAGCGTATGTGATATAAATGAATACTTATGTTTGGTGTTTTAAAATATGCTAATTTATTTTTAAACTAATGTGCTTAATCGAAGACATATGATTGCGATAGAATTTACAATCTTCAAGAATACTAAATAAAATCTGCATTAACTAATTTTATTGTATGTGACAAATAAAGATGGTAGAAATGTGAAGGCAAAATTAATAGATGCAATAAAATTTTATGTTATGAAAATTTAGCACTATGAGATTGAGTCGAAGCAATATTTTATATTGAAATATTATTAGAAAACTATATTTACAAATGTGTCCTGTGAGCTTTTTATACTCACTTTCTGGAATAAAAGAAAGCCATTGATAACATAAAAAAGTGTAACGCATAAAAATAAATTATGTGCACACATTTATGGTAATAAAATCATAAAAGTTTTGTACAAATACAAAAATAAACCAAATTTTTTTAATATGCAGTTAAAAAAAGAATAATCTTGAGATTTAATAAAGCAAAAATTTATAATTACTTACTTACGATATCATTTAACTTCCATTATTTGATGAATTGTTCACAGATTCATTTTGATTAAAATCATTTTCATTTCGTATCACAATTTGATTCGTTATTGTATTGATAGTTTCTGTCGATAGCTCTTCGAGTTGACTTAAAATAATATCTAATGTTGGACGTTCATTTTGATTAGAAGACCAACATTTTTCAACGAGATCAATGTAACTCGATGGGGTATTAGGAACAATTTCAGGTCTTTCGTTAACTATAAGTTTAGAGATGACACCATAAATGCCTAAAGTGTTAAATGGAGGAGTTCCACTTGTGAGCTCCCATAGCAACATTCCAAGGCTATAAATATCGGATTTTTGGTTGCGTTCATTTTTGCCTTCTCCCAAAAGGTATTTAGGGTCAGTATATGCAGCTACGCAATTCATATTTGAATTTGAATGAGGATCCATTATATTTTTTGACAGCCCGAAATCTGAAATTAATGCCTTCCCATCATTTATAAGAATATTCCTGGAGTGCTACAAAGATGTAGATGATTAAGATTTTATTGAATTAAGTTATTTTGTAATTAGAGATAGGTTTGTTAACAATATTAGCCAACAAAGTTAACAGATAATTAACATAATAATTTAAATTAATTGCTAATAACTAATTTTTTAGAACTAATTGTTAATAAAACAATTAATTATATTTTAATTGTATCGCTTTCATCTTATTTATAAATAAATTTAAATTATTTGTTAATTGTCCATCCTATTTTTTTTTTTATAAATTAGAAGTTATAACTTACTAGATCACGATGCATGATTCCTTTTTCGTGTAAATGTTTCAGTCCATTGGTAATTCCTTTTGCAATATTAATGAGTTCATCCCATGAAATTTGATAAAGATCCTTACTACATTTACTTTTTAAATGATCCCGTAATGTTTTATCAGCGAGCTGTAAAACCAAGAATAAATTACCGGTTTCTGGATCTAAAAAATTTATTAAAAATATGGTTGATCAAGTAATATACATTAATTTAAAATTAAAAAACAGAATTATAACTTTTATCGTACTAAATGAAGCTCCGTAAAGCTTAATAATATTAGGATGATCAATATTATAAAGATTTATAGTCTATATAAAATATTAATTATGTTATCAAAAGTATTAACTTTGATATTAAAAAAAATTATCTGAAAAAGGTCATTACTTCTCTAGTGAGATGCTTGTACTCTTCCTGATTTATTTCTAAATTGTTGTTAAAACTCTTTACCGCGTAAACTTTATCTTCAAAAGTAGCTGAAAATACCATTGCCAAACTTCCTCTTTGGATACATTTTAATTGACTAAATCGTGAATAATCAAATGCTTTTACATTGTTATCACACAAAAACTTTATTAATTTATAGGAATATTTGTAAGCTAATGTTAAAGATTTATTGCATTAATATATGAACTGTAAATGTGTAATATAGAATTCAAATTATTATCTATTTTAACTCACGTGTTTCTTCACCCATAATTATATTGGAAAAAAAAGGAGGTTCACGAGCCATTTTTCAAGTTATTCTATCGGTTAGAACGTAACAGGTAAGAAATATGAGAATATAATAAATTGAAAATTTTGCGGAGCTTTTTTTTGTCACTCCGAATATTGTACGACATAAATACAAATATTGTTTAAACGTGAAGTTTAAACCATTTATTTCTCTTATTATTAACATCATTAATACTATCATCTTTTAAGTTAATGGTTTCATGAAAGAACAATGTAGGCGTCATCCTTATGTGTTAGTATAGTATAGAGAAAAGATTTTATTGTTATTAATAAGTAAAATGTCTATATATCGGCACTTCACACACTTCACATCGGAGAAAATCAACAGGTTTACAACCGGAAGGAATATATTCACCGGTTACACAAACAATTCGAGAGAAAAAAGAAAAAAAGTAAAATGAATATAACTTTAAAAACAAACAAACTTAAAGTAAAAGGTTAGGACTAAAATTGTCTTGAAACTCAATATTCTTTGTTTTTTTTCTTTATTTGGTTACGTGGTCTTTCATACTGTATGACTTTTGTGTCATCATAAAAAATCCGAATCGAATGTAGGAGGACTTTTAAAATTTTACGTGAACCTAGACGACAACCTTGTATTTCTTATATTAAAACTCAACCATTTAAAACTTAAACATTATCCAACTTAAAAAAGAGTGGACAAACTTTGATTTTGCAATGCTTTATGTTAGAGAAATTCGGACTTTTGGAGCAGTTAGACAAAGATACAAAGATAAGGTAATACTATTTATTTATTTATATCAAGGTAGCATTTATTTGCTCGCGTAACCTAGTAACTTTATTAGAGAACATTGCATTTATGAAGGATAAGATTTTTCACATCTTGTATCATTAAATTCACACTTCCTTCTTGAGCATTCTTTGAATTTACTTAAAACATTCTTTTCCATTGTACAACGGTCCTGCTAAAAGAATGAAACAAGGACGATTTTCCTAATGTTAAGTACGTATAATTATTTATATAGTGATGCGAAAATAATTTATGTTGATGATGATGATTTCTAGATCTTAGATTAATGAACCCGATTTTTGAAATTGATTGAAAAAAATTGATAATCGAAAAAAAAAAAATTAACTAAAGAAATATTCCTGTTAGTTGGAAACAAATTCAACATTTTATCGAAATATGAGAAATTAAAATTCTAGTGTCAAATTTATAAGTAGTCTCATCGGATATTTCATTTATTATTTGTTATTACGATAATGATAGAATCAAATTCAGTGTTTACGAACGTAAACGTACAGTTACACAGAGAACATGTGCTCAACTTTTAATCTCTCAATCTCTACCTTAGTTCCACAATGTCATACTACCGAAAATACCATTTCTATTCATAGTTAAATAAACATAAATGATGTAAGCATATTTAGAAATAGATTTTACGCCATGACTTCAAAATTGTGTACAAAGTAATAACAATGGTAATGATTTGAGGGGAAAAGTAATTTTAATAGTAAGCTTTTTTATAAATATATTTTTACTTATATTTGGGCGCTAAAGAGATTAAGGGAGATCCGCAATCAGATGGTACATATGTTTTATATATGACATATATATATGACATATATATATATGACATATATATATGACATAGATGTATATGTTTATTTAGATAATTAACTTACTGTTAAAACTTTTTTCCTATAACATTGACGCAAATGGTGTTTTATTACAATTATAAACTATTGTAATAGATATTTATCTATAAAGTAATACATTTTTATTTGCTCATTTATTTGAAAGTGTAAACTTAAAAACATATATTGAAAATTTAATGTCAAATATTTGAATTTATGGGTTTGCAAATACTTAAATAAGAAGGTTTTGGTGTAATTTGGTTCTAACATAAGTGACTCTGTTGTTTCACTAAGTTAAATCATAACGTGAGGAGACCCCTTAGTTATTAATAAATGTAACTTAATTTGTATGATAATAATATTCACAATGTCCTTATTCATTATTAGATGCAATAAAGATGTATATAATTTGGACGAAAAATTCATTTTCAAGTATATTTTTAATTATTTTTAATTAGTGGTCTAATTATACCTTAATATATTACTATTCTCTCGTCAAAAATTATTGTTTTTTAAATTAGAGAACAATTCGAAATAGCGTCACAATGAGTTTCTAGTTTTTAACGTTAACATTTAATATTTATCAACAAATTTGTAATACAAAGTATTTTCGTCAACGAAAATAGATATTTTCGGATTTACCGAAACCAAAATCGGATCAATATTGACCGAAATCAATAATAAACTCAACTATTGGTTTCGTATTCGGGAAATGAATTTATCGAAAGTGTTTTCGGAGTCAATTAATTTTCTAAAAATACCTCTAATTATGCAAGTTACAAAGTTTCGCACAATATCCACAGATTAAGGAACTTTTATTAAATACACACTTTCGATCAGATGCTCTCATTTTGGTTGATTTTTATCATCACAACAATTACCGTCTCGATAGGACGAGAAACTCGTTCACAAAGTTCCGGATCTGTCAAGATCTTTTCCTTTTTGGGTGTTCTTAGATGCATCCAAAAACGCCCGTAATAATAACACAGATCTTTAACGATCTCGAGATTGGCTGGTAGTCACATGAATTGCCGCCAATATATGATTAGTAAAATGATACGTATTAGTAATACGTTAACTCCGGCAATCATGTGATTGCTATTCCGACGACGGAATAAATGAACAAACGACTTTAAATGAATAACTAATCAAGAAAATCATCGTTATGAAAAATTCTAGAAGATTGCGGGCATGTTCAACTTTGATAACATTAAAACCTGCTTCATATTGATTCTATTGATTCTTGAGTAACATTAACAAGATATCAGCCACAATGGTTCCCACATTAGCGAGTTCATTGCCAGCTAACCTCTTAATATGGATAAATGTTAAACGAAAAAATAATCACGCGATACTACAATTTATCAGTATAAAAAAATATATTAATCAATATCGTTATCGTTATGTGTTATCGTTATGTGTTATCGTTAGTGTGTTATCGTTATGATCGTTATTTATTGGTAAAATCACACAAGTTGTAAAATTTATAAAATTTATAAATTCGAAAGGCTTTAAATTCATTAAAATATATATTATTACGACGTCATATGTACGTATATGTTTAGTATTTATCAGTTATAAAACTTATATTACGAAATTACTTTAAATTAAAGTAGACTTTATCAGCCTCAAAAAGATAAAATAATGAGATTTTTGGACTTTAATGAATTTCATCTATTTTAGGGTATACAAAAGAAAAATCACAATGTATTTTATTTCAAGTTTTCTTTTTTTTATTTTTTATGAAACAAAGTTTTTCTAATACTTTATTTATACGTATGGTGTTGTGTAAATCTTGCAAATCATCCAATTTATAGTATATTTAGTGCACGTGTTCATCTAATAAAAATAAATTCACTTCCGATTGCTCCGAGTACTACATGTTCTTTATCTTACATATATGCAAGAAATAAGATTTTAATGATGCTTTGAATAAATCACGCATTTTATCTGTTTATAATTATATCTAAAGATGAATTCTACTAGCTGGGATAGAGATGGTTTCGTCGATGCTAGGCCTGGTGAAGGAACATGTAACTATTAACTATTAAATAATTAATATTAAATTTATATACGATGACGATATATACGCTTTAATATTAATATTTGATTTATTAGTGTTAATGCATTCAGGATCATTAGTAAGATTAGTTGGTCAAAAAAATGTAAAAAACCTTGATTTCTCGGAATTTACGAAACCAAGACCAATTGGAAAAGGTGCGACTGCAACTGTATATTCAACTACTTCTCGAAGAAAAAACTATGCTTTAAAAAGTTTAAACAATAATCTTGATATGGATAAACGAAAACTTAAACTACTTTCTCAAGAGGTTTTTATTGCTAGTTTCGGCTTTTTAAACTTTAAATCTATTTAACATTTCTTTTTTACTTATTTATAGATTATAAATCTTAATAATGCTGCCCATCCTAATGTTATTAAACTTTATGGAATTTCAAGAGGTATAATATTTAATTATTTAATTTTATTTGATTTTATTTGATGATTTGATTATTTGACGATTTGATGATTATTTAATTTGGCTCATTTACATATATTCATTTTTACTTACAATTTACTTTTAATGCTCTAGAACCAAAAACGGGTAATTTTATGCTAGTGTTACAATATGCCAATAACGGTTCACTACGTAATTATCTACGGAGCAAATGTAATGATGGAATCTATACAATTTCTTGGAATGAGATCTGTAGTATCGCTAAAGGTGTTATAAATGGATTGATGTATTTACATGGGAAAGGGATTGTTCATCGGAATCTTGTTAGTTATGAAATTTTTAATCTTTTATAATTAAATCTTTTTGTTTGATACTTAAATTATATTAAATTACTTTTTTTTATTAACAGCATTCTAATAATGTTTTAATAAATGATGGTAGAGCTTTGGTTTCGGATTTTGGAATACCAAAACAATTAAATGACACTTCAAATCCTGGTGCTGCGACTATGATAGCATATACAGACCCTCAATACATCATTGAAAAAAAATCTGAATGTGATCAAAAATCAGATATTTATAGTCTAGGGGTATTGTTTTGGGAACTAACAAGTGGTGTTCCTCCGTTCCAAACCTATACGGTGATGGCCATATATCAAGAAATAATTATAAGAAATAATAGAGAGAGAATTATTGAAGGAACACCTCCAGGTTATGTAGATCTCTATGTTGGATGTTGGTCTTTTGACTCTAATGATCGTCCAACATTAAATACAATATTATACGCGATAACTGAGCTTGAGAAATTATTAGAATCATCTAATAAATTTATTACAAATAATCTTGGTATAATTCAGTAGCTAAAACTTTTAAAAAATTTAACTATTCATCTTCATCAAAATAACTTTTTACTAAAAAGCTATTAATTTCCTTTTTATTATTCAAGGTGGAATTGATTCTGATCAAAATATGAATAATCATGGTGATTCACCGACTCCTCAAAAGTGTGTATAATTTCATTTAATTTATTACCTCGAAATCTTTATTCTTTTTTTCTAATATTGATTATTTACAAATTAGTCTGTAAGCACAGACTTTTATTTTTCTTATTATTATACTCTAATAAGCCGTATTCTAAATCAATCAATCAATTTTTAGTTGGTAAATATAATTTATTATTCAATTGATATTAAATTTATTATTCTAATAAATCTTATATTTTTCATATCATTAGGGGGTAAGCATAAAATTTGACCGTCAACTTTAAATACGTTCTTAAAGGTTGATTAATTCTTTTCTGATCAAATTTCATACGTAACAATTTATTAGCATGTGAGTAAAAAATTCCTATTTATTTTAAAGTTTGCATTAGCAATAAAAAATTATAACTTTTCTCATATTGACATTATTTAAATTACAGGTTGTAAGTATTTTTTTTCTAAATTCACCTTAATTTTTTAAATCTTTTGTATGATAATTAATACGTACATATATAAAACTATGACCAGCATGTGAGTATAAAATCTTATTTAAGATTTCTTTTATTATTATTATTATTATTATGTTTGTAATTAACAAAATAATATACAAATTTAAATTATCAGAAGGTGATTATAAAATTTCAACCATCTGATTTCTTTAATCTACATTGTTACTAAACAATATTATATCATATAACGTAATTAGTTGGTTGTAAGTTTTTTTTTTATTTTTTGTAATTTTGTTATCATTTATCATTGCCAATATAATAATTCGATTTTTAATTGATTAAATTATTAGGTCGTGAGTATTAATTTTAAAGAGAAATCTTGTGATGATTTATAATTAACAAAACTTTTCTAATTATAATCCTTATTGTCATTATGGCAATAGCAATAATAAGTAAATATAAATCTTTGTTCATTAAATAATAATTTACCGTAAAAATTCGAAATAATGTTCAGGAGTGTTCTCAAGCACTTTAATTAATGGATCGGAGGTAAAATTTTTAATTAGTCGGGAATTGAATAAACTAACCAAATGAATTACCATTTGATGAATGAAATCTGAAGGTCGGACCATACAGCATGTAGATTGGCTAAAATTTAGAATTCGTATTTTGCTCAATGAATTTTTAAAAATCGTTAACTATTCTATTAATCGTGATGACTTCGATCATAGCTAATTACATTGAGGAAGCTGCTTGAGAACATCTTCAATGTGCAATTTCAAGTTTGATCTAAATTAAGTTTACTTCGGGTTGTATCTCGAAATAGCGTCATTTCGAATCTTTACAGTATATGTATCGCAACTAATTTTTATACCTACTATATTGTTATTTATACATTTCTATTATTAGTAACAGGTAAATCTTCTCTAAATTTGCATTTATTATGAAGTTTTCATAATTATGATATTTATTATTGCTATTTTTTAGCAAATTAAATATGTAACACTAAATAAACTGGTGAGCGAATAGTTTATCAAGGAATCAACGTTTCGAGATGATTGATTGCTAAATAAAATTTTATTGAAAGTTTAAATATTTTTGTATAATATTTCTTTAGCAACCAATGTAAAACTCTTAAATAATTAGAAAATTTTTTGATATTGGTTATCTATAACTGTTAAGTGATTTGAAATTTTTTTTAAAGCACGAATTAACATCAATGATTTATGCAAAAGAAAGAAGATGAATTGTTAAATTTTTATTATTTTCTATGTTACCTTTCAATAATCTAAGTATATTCCTACAATGTCTTTTTTAAAATTAATCTATTTTTTTAAGCAATAGTATACATTTTTTTTTCATTATTGTAGAAATTTTGACAAAATTTTTGGGTTATATCATTACAAATATTTGAAAATTCAAACTTTTGTATATTGCAATGTTTCATTGTAAAACTTTACTACATAATATTCTATATGATTTTTATTAAATTTTGAAACAATATACTGTAGCAAAAATTTATAGCTACACTTTAACGTTATATTAATGTCTCAAAGATTTTCTTTAAAAGTCGCTTAGTTGATTGCATTATTAATCAAATTTAATGATATATAGCAATATTTAGAGCGGGCTATTCATTCTAGAGGATTTATTTCAAAGTTTAAATAAAAATTTGATATGATTTGACGCAAGTCAATAAGTGAGTTAAACCAACTTGGGCCATGATTTTCACGGTATACTACGTATATTGATATAATGTCTGATACCTGAGAGTAGCAATTACGTTAATTATTGGCTACATCGCATTCAATAACTTTATATTATAATTAATAGTTCATAAAATCTACGCTAATTAAAAAGTTTGATTTTGAATGACGAATGCGAATTAAATTTTTATTCATTATCATGTCTATCCGGTTTCTTTTTTTGATAAATTTATCGACATTACTCGATAAATTCCGTTAATTACTCGGAGGGATTAACGAAGGACACTGTCGCAAAATAAAAAAATTATCGGCTCGGTTCATGTAATGTAAGCTAAAAATTAATTTTTGTATGAATTGGATCATTTTCTTTTAACAATCTGACGGAAATAAATTTTGGTGTAAATTAAAAATTATTATGTTTCCATATGAGCCGATGAAATTTATTAATGAAATAATAATAAATTTAAAGTTCAGAATAATCGGATTCCGTTATAAATAAACTCCCTGAAAGGGGTCGACTATACTATTGTATTTTTATGATCAAATTATTGCTGTTTTCGGTTTACCTGAATTTGCTATATTTTAGATATAGTGGAAATAGTGACTGAACTCATCAACTCGTGACTCAAATAATTCGATTTGATGATTTGTGAGATTCCCGAATCCCAAATCTGCTTTAATAGAATTTAAGTTAAATTTTCGTAATTAGAATAAATTGATTGACCTGAGTACGAATCACGAGTTGAGACAAGTCCAGTCTCTAAGTGGAAAGATGTTTAGATATAATATATTTTTCGGATAGCCGCGAATTTGGATATCCGGATAAATCCGTTGAACTAATCAAAATATAGTCGATTCTAGATATAGTAAATTTTTATAATAAACAATCTAAATAGAAAATTTTTGCCAAACTTGACGAATTTTTACTATAAGAATTATTATAAAAAAAGCTAGCCGCAATCATAATACATTAATATTATCAATGCATATACATAGTAATATAGTTCTAAAAAATAAATAATCTTCACTATTATTACGATATTACGATTATGAATAAGGTATGTAAAAAAATTTTTTTGTGCTCAAGGTAAAATACAAATTTATAATAATAATTCTCTATTCAATATTAAGTATAAAAATATGTCATTTATTCATGCTAAAATACTAATGCATCATTATTATTAATTGAAGTATCGGGTAGTACCGGATAGTTTAATAGATATCCGGCTATCCGCAGAAATATTTTCGGTATCCGATATAAACGGACGTTATGTTACCATAGCGATAGATCTTGATTTAGTTTTGAATTGATTAATAATAAATTTGACGACCAAATACTTTGATTTGGGCGCGCTCCTTGAATGTGTGCCAGGTTGGTGGCGCAGTTAACCACACCGTAGCAAAATCACGAGACCCAACATAGATTGCGTAAAGTTGAAACGATAAGAAAAAATAAGCATAATTTAATCTTTAATATATTAATTTAATCGATTTTTTGCAATATTCTTTCTCAAACTATGATTCATTTTATTAATTTTTCTTTTTTACGAGAGGGAATAGTTTAAGGGTCATGATTTTTCTTTACTTTATTTAAAATAGCGCATGACTTTTTAGCTCAATTAGACTCACTCTACTTACGCCGTTGGACAAATTCGACTTGAATGCGGATCATAGAGCCACTTTTAATACGTTACAGTTATTATCGAAAGCAATTTTGATACGCAATATCTTGTAATAAATTGAATTCTTGCAAATCTCTCATTTTGCTCAACTGAAAATTCATCATTCTGCTCAACCGAAAAATCATCATTTTCTTCATTTTGTATGACGATTCACTTGTAAAATACGAAATTATTTATTAATTCAACAATAAAAAAAAAAAAAGCATACTTTGAAGTTACTTCCAATAGTTTATCTATTCTTGAATGGTCTTGCGAAATAGAACTAGGCTGTAACGAAGCATAAAGGAAATTGCTTTTTGTGACTTGACCTGACAAAATAATAATAATAATAAATAAATAAAAGGAGCAGATAAATTGTAAGAAATCATAAGATTCATCTAATTAATCAGAAATATATAGATAATTGTGTGTATCGATATTATTAGGAAAAATTTTTTTTGGTTGCTACCAGTGTTAGAGATCTGAAGCTTCTTTTTTGTTCTCTGAGAACATAAATTTTAAATTTTAGGTTCTCAGAAAGATTTTTAATGTTCTCAAAAGTTTTTAGATATAATACAATTTACAAATTTTATGTTCTCAAATGAGAACATAATTTTTAAAAATTGTGTTCTCAAAAATATTTTAATGTTCTTGAGAAAACTGAGAACATTAGATATCTAACACTGGTTGCTACTACACCCATTTTTGTCGTTACTCGTTATGTTGTTAACGTTGAGCATAAAGAGTATGGAAAAATCCAATAAAGGCGTTATTATAAATTAGTATGAAATGTTAATAATAAAAGGTTAATTATATATCAGATATATTATTAATATCGATTTTATGTATTCTGTATGATTGATTGATTACAATTAATTTTGATCGTTGGGGCTTAGGCTAACTGCGCCGCACACATTCAAGACGTGAACTTACTAAACCTAAACTCTAATTCATATTGATATGTAGTCGAATTAAATTAACTCACTATCGGTAGTCAAATTTTTCAAAATTTTCAAATTGTAGAGTATTTTACAAATCCGCAGTAATGAAATATACCGATAGTTCTGGTTCGCTCCGATTTTCATCACAAGTAATTATTCATATTTGCTTTAATCACCAACTCTGGACTCACAAATTTATGCTAGTAAAAAGTATATAAAAAAGAAAGGATAAAAATAAATATGCGAATATTAAAAATGTTAAAAAAGCACTCATAAA